TCCTCTTCTTCTACGAGTTTGTCTGAATCTTGTTGCCTATAGAATTAAGTAATTGAAACAATTATTTCATTGAAACAAATTTGAAATAAAGAGGTAATAAACAAACCATTGATTCCTTTGTTTTTAAAAGTTCTTTTTTCTTTATAACCCTACAACTATTTTATTATAAATTAACTATATTTTTATTATTATTTATTTAATAAGTAATAATATTAATTATTATAGTAAATTAAATTATAATAGATAACTAATAGTTAAATTGAAAAAAAAACAACTTTACCTCTTTCCTTCATACCATTTATCTTTTATATGTGATATTAAGTTATCACAAAGACTCTTTGCTTTTAAAAGTGCAATGGGGACCTTAGAAACAATAACAAAATGTAATGGCTTAATAGAATCATTATAAACTTCCTCAGAACCACTACCTTTAACCAGGAGTTGCACTCCAGTTTTTTTTTCAATATATTGAATGTTCTGATGATCTTTTCCAATAATTTTTTTATAGAATAACGTTTTATCTTCTTCATTTTTAAATGTTGGTGGATAAATTTCTATTGTTAATGTTCCATTAAGAATTTCGTTGATTGCATTTACTCCACGATTTAGTTCTTTTTCAGTATCTCCTCTGACTAATAAATATAATGGAATTTGACCACATTTATTAATATACGTTGAAGAGTCATCTGGATCAAATTCCTTTTCTTCAAATTGTGGTTGATAATTTCCTTTAACACAAACAAGTATATTATATTCTTTTTGAAGATGTTTATGAGTTGATGTTTTGAGTAAACAAGTTCTTAATGTTTGATCTAAGTGATTGATACAAATATTCTTAGAATATTCAAAAGTTCCCTTTTTTTGTTGTGCTAAAAGGTCTTCTAAATCATTACTTCCTATAGTTGCAATAGCAACTTTTTGAGGAACAACTATTAGTGCTTGTGTTGGATCAGAAATTGCAATAGAAATATTCTGACCTTTTTCTTTTAATAATTTAAGAAAGTCCTCATTAACAAGGTCCCATTTTTTTTTTGGTTTCTTTTCTTCATGAATTTTATCAGTCACTGACATTCGCTTGTTTATTTTTATAGTTCTTTTTATTAATTTTTCTTTTTGTAATAAAAAAATATTCGTAGTTAAACATTAAGAATCTTAACATATTTTTATATGTTTTTCTACAAATCAAACCTCCTTTTGCTTTTTTTTTACACATCCATAACATTATTTTTGAACAAATACAATCATATAACAATATTTGTTATTTGTCAAATTGTCCTTACATTTCTTTTCAAAATTTATATCTTTGTTATTAAGATATAAAAAAATATCATTTTTCTTCATTTCACAAGAATTATATAAGATTGTACATTTTTAAGAGAAATAAAGTATTTCTTTTAGTTACTGTGAACACAAACATTTTGAGCATCAGAGAAAACTTTGTTCTCTTCTAAAATTGTTGAAGAAATAAAACATAAACAATTTTAAACAATTACTTTAAATGTTTTAAAGTTGAAAACCAAAAAAGGGATGAAGAAAAAAAAAATTAAAGTTTAAATGGTTCAGAAAAAGCAAATGGAACTCTAGAAATATCAAGCTTATTTTTATATTCACAGTCTTTTCTAAAATACCTTATTTGATATTCTTTTCCTGTGGTATCACCTAACTCTTTCAAATTAATATCAAAATAACGTTGAAGATTACCTTCACCAAAAACAGTGTGCTGCAATCCAATCATATAATTATCTTTCATACTAAGACATGAAGCTTCAAACATACCAATAAAATCTCCATCTTCTGCTGGTAAATTGATTGATACTAAAATTTCTGGGTCTTGTTGTTTTCTTTCTACTTTAACTGTAAAATCATTATCAACAGGTTTTCCAGCAAAATATTTTCCAACAAAATATTTTGAAAGTTCACAAACACGAGTATAAACAGCAAATCTAGTCATTCCAGAATATGTACAAATACGTATATCATAATATCCAGCTGGAACATCAGCATTAAATGAGTAAGTAGATTGACTTTCTTTTACGTATTCATAAGTAATATAATTTTTATCATCCTTTCGTTTATGTGCATAAAGACCAATAATAATATAAGAATTATTAAGTTGAGTTGGTTCAGTCCAATTAACAGTAACATTAAACTTTCTAGGATCAGACTTAGAAGGGGTATTTATAATTTCTAATTTATTTTCAAAAGCTTCTTTTAAATCCATTTTGATTAATTTTTATTTCAAAGTTCTTTTATATCTTTTTTTCAAACCTCATCGAATAGGTACTTTCTTAATATTCTAATAAATGTCCTATATTACTACTTTTTTAATCAAAAATTAAAGTCATTCTAAAAATATGACTGACTTTTCAGAAAAACAAAAATATTATTAATAACAAAAAAACTCTTTATCAATTAATTATGCAGCAAACATCTGATCCCTTTCAAGACCCAATTAACCCAATAGTTTTTTTTGATATTTCTGTTGGAGATAGACTAATTGGTAGGATAAAATTTGAATTATTTCGAGAGATATGTCCTAAAACAGTAGAAAATTTTAGACAGATGTGTACTGGTCAATTTATATATAATGGAAAACCTACTGGGTATAAAGGGAGTTGCTTTTATAGAGTAATAAAAAATACTGTTATTCAAGGAGGGGATATAGTCAATGTTTGTTTTTTATATTTAATAATAATTAAAGTAGCATTAATAATAAATATAAATAATAGGGAAATGGAACTGGTAGTATTTCAATTTATGGAGAATATTTTGATGATGAAAATTTTGATTTAAAACATTCTGCACCAGGATTATTAGCAATGGTTAATTCAGGACCAAATACTAATGGATGTCAATTTATGATAACATGTTCTTCAATAAAAGAATTTAATAATAAATATGTTATCTTTGGACAAGTTATAGAAGGAATGAAAATTGTTAGAATGATAGAAAATGTTGCTGTAGATGAAAAGTATCAACCTAAAATTCAGTGTGTTATTTCTGAATGTGGTCAAATGTAAACATTCAATTATTTACTTCTTTTTTTAATTTTTTTAATTCTTCATTTTCTTTTTGTTTTAATTGGTAAGTTTCAATAATCTGCCTTGTTTTTTCATTAAATTCTTGAATTTCTTTAATACTTCTTTCTAAGTAATATAATTCTTCATATTTTTTTATTTTTATGTGCTAACATTACCTGGTTTAATTCTGTTAGTAATTCTTCACTTATATTTTGAGTATCAAAAGTTGTCATAACTCAAATTCAAAACTTACTTAATGTTAATTCAGTTAGTGAATGCTTTTATGAATGAATTTAATTTATGTTACATATAACATAAATTAACTAAATTCATAAAAAACATATAAAATTCATCATCGTCAATACAAAATATTAAAAATAAGTTAAACTAAAATTAATCAAATACGTAGAAAAAAATAATTTGTTAAAAAAAAAAAAACAAAGAAGAAAGAACTTAAAAAATTAAATGAGAACTTTCTTCTTCCTATTATTTGCTCTTTATTGTTTTGCTATTAAACCAAAAGCAGAAATGAAAAGTGAAGAGTTTGTTCTTGGTGAATGGACATTTGAATATTACATGGGAGATTATGAAAATCCAAGTGATATTCTTACATATAATATAACTACTATTGATGGAGTTATATCTATTTCTCCTATTATAGATGGAGTACAAGAAGATCCAATTGGAAGAATTGAAACAGAAGGAAGTTCAATGACAGTTTTTATTAATGAGAATGTTCTTTTCAGTGCAGATTTTGAGGAAACATCAGCATTAGGAATGTATCAATCAACAGTTGAATTTGAAAATGATACATATGAAGTTATTATTCCACATCCAAAATTCCCTAAATTCATTGTTAGTACTTATGGACAATCAGGAAAAAGATTAATTGTTGGTAAGAGAACTGTTATTATTCCACCAAAGACTTTCTTCCAAAAGTATGGAATGTTTATTATGATTGGTGTTTTAATCTTAACATTCTTCTTCAAAGGTAATTCTGGACCTGAACCACAACAAGCTGCTGCACCAGTTGCTGAAAAACCAAAAACAGAATAAATTAAAATTTATGATTAAATTTATTATTTGAAATTTTGTTTTTTAAAAATTTTTTAGTTTAAATAATTTATTTTATG